ATTTGGATGGGTGAGCGAATACTTTTGGCAATATAGTGTATGTGCAGATCAATGCAAATTTGATCCTTTTGCCTATTGATTTGCAGTGTGTGATTTATGCCTGCACTTTTATTGAAATATCCAGGCATAAATATACAGACATAAGTCCATTTAGAGAACATCTATAGAAATCATCATCATATTGTGTGCTAGTGTTTATGGTAAAGTGTTTGGGAAGTACCGTAGTTTGCCACTGCCCCCTTCCTTCGGCTGGGAGAGACCAAACTGACTCAATGCCAGAGGTGGGATTAGAACTCAGTTTTCTGGTTTCTAGCCTGGTGTTTTAACCACTATAGAACAGCAAACTGGTTTTCCAACTATATTTATACAGTAGTGTTTTTTAAATCCCTTTTGTTTAGAGAACTCATGGTGTCAATTCAAAACTTTTAGTTCTCTAGATAACAGACTTCATTTCCCATTGGAATGTGTAAACTACGCATTGGCAAATAGGCCCTGATGTCCTCTGGGGACATAATCTCACGCCTTCCCTTAACTCTTACGTACCTTGACACAGAAATAAATATGACTGACATCAATGGGATATCTACTGGATTTAAATGTATGAGCTTAAAACTTGAAGAATTCACATTTGGCCCAATCATGTCTCATAATTTTCCCACTGGCACCAAGATTAAAACTGTAAAAAAGAAATATTGACTGTTTTTTAATGTAGAATTTATTGCCTTCAAACTCTTAATGAAAAAAATTAAATTAATGAAAAAATTGTTTAGATGGTAACCTACATAATGGAGCAGTCCTGGTCTTCTCCACTTTGGGAATAAGCAGGTGTAGCACAGCTGTGATGGCTTACCTTATCCATTCTTGCAGGCTTTACTTGAAGGTGAGTGTAATTAACAATCTGTGACAACCTTTCCTACTAGTCAGGGGTGTCAAACTCACGTCGTCACGGCTGCGTCATGTGACTTATCGGGACTTTTCTCTCCTTCGCTAAACCAGACGTGGGCCTAGCCAGTATCTGGCCCGTGGGCTGGGAGTTTGACAGCCCTGTGCTTTCTAGATACATTAGGATTGTAGCTTCTCAAGAGGACACAAGTAGGGAGAGGCTATCATACACTAATGTTAGCTCTTCCTACCCCCAACAAATTTTGCCATTATGCTGAGCATTCATGTAGCTGCACTCATATTTTATTCTCAGATATCTTTTTGTCCAAATTTCTCTCCCATTCTCTATTGTTTTGTGTGTATGTGTCAGTTTTTCATCTATAAGATTCTTGGAACAGAAAACTACATTGTTTGTCGATTATCTACTGTCAAATTAAGTTTGACGGTAATCAGTTTAGGCAGTTTTAAAAACAGAATGTGAAATCAAAGATGATATAGGGGCCTTAATGCCCAAATTAGAACATGAATCATGATTTACTTTAAAATGTCTCACATTATTAGGGTCTCATACTGTGTCTTTACTTTTGGACCATTTTGCCTAATATTGGTCTACCATGATTATCAGCGGTTCCCCAAAGGCTCAAGCAAGATCTTCCCATCACTTGCTACCTGACTCTTAGCTAGAAACTGAGAATGGAAAATATGGCAAATTAAAGCATGGGTTGTACTACTTACTATGGCTCCAAGGTAGTAGTGGGCTCCAGATCCTGTTCCAACCAGTACGGTTGGAACGGGCCCGGCGGCGTCCACATGGATCTGCATAGCACGTGTGTGCGTCTTAGCATCTCCACGAGCCTCCATGACGCTCCAGCTCCTCAGCAGAGTATTGCGCAGGTGCTATACGCGCCATGCGCGTACATGGAAGCCCCGAAGACTTAAAAGATGGGTAAAGGGCAGATGGGTGGGCCCTCCGGAGCACCGTACGGGAATGGTATCTGGTGTTCCGGGCAGGCTCCGATACACCCATACCAGGGTGTACTGCCTGCAACCCACCACTATTCCAAGGGTATCTTCAGGAGCAGTCAACAAAAACAACATGGTGCACATGGCTGAAGCCCTGCATTTTTTTTTTTAAATTTTTTTTTTTTTTTTTT